CAGTTAAGCTAATGTACATGTCTTTGTTAAGTGTGAAAAACACATCAATTTTTAAAAAATCTTAGAATTTGGATGTTGTTGTTTTTCCCCATAGAGAAAGAAAAGCAAAAACCTGGTCAGTGTTCCTACCTGTGGGAAGGAAGATCATACTGGCATCACTTTCATACTCTAGTAATACAATATTTATTTTTAAATCAACAGTATCCTAAGCCACTTTAAGATATGGACACCCAATTCAATACCTGATTTACTTTTTAAAAAGGTATTGATATTAAATTGTTCCCAACCCTAGAAAGGAAAGAAATAAGTTTTCCATGATCATTTTAGAAAAGTAGTAACTATACAAAGTCTGGCTGCTTTGTTTCAAGAGAATAGCAGAATAGAATACAGGCCTAAGAAACATATATTTCAAAATATTTTTTACTCCATAAGATTTTTCTATAGTGTTTTATTGCAATTAAAACTCAACTACATATTTTTAATAAATACATTCCATATGCCATATGTATTTAATAACATTTCTACACCATATAAATCATAGCAATAAAGTATATTTCAGTAATTAATTATATTATCAACCCCGTAAACTGATATGTAATTTCCATGACAAGGAATTTTTACTATAAAAATATTGACTGGGATCCGTTATATATGTTTTGACCACTTTCCTTGAATTTTCTTAATATTTAAAATTTTGTGCTCTGTAATATGGTGAAATCAGGGAAATAATACCAATTTCCTGTGTGGTTTTAAAAATTTAGTCTATAGTTAAAATGGATAAGCATATATCTATATCTATATGTATATATATAGAGATATATAGTGCATGTTTCCATTTACAAAGGTTTATGTAGAAATCTGAGCTTCCATGTCAATTGCTTCCCTTTAGATATCAACATCTGGAAAAACCTAGTTACATATGCCAAAATATTTGCTTCTTAACAAAGTTAACATATGAGAATCAGTTATTAAAGATAAATCAGAGCACATCTGATGAGAATCTTCAGCTCAGGCTTCCCATCACATTGTTTTTTAGGAATATTGGCAGTATAGGACTTTTGTAGTTGTTAAATCTGAGTTGTGAGTAAGATGTGCTACACTATGTCAAAGCTAAGTGGGATTTATACTCACTGAATCTCTGGTAACAATTGAATATGCTATACTATACTCTGGGAGCTTCTAAGAATGGCTTCTTGGCCATACAGTAAAGGCAGATTGCTGAATGACAGGGCTCAAGCTCAGCCCGTCAGTTGTGCCTGTCTTGTGATTCCTTGGATTACACCAGTCTGAAGGAACTAACTAAGTGGGATTTACTTCCTGGATTGACCTTCAGAGTTCTACAGTGTGTCTTCTGGACCTTCTGCCCAATCATTCTCTGTCCATGTATTTGCTGATGTCTAAGTTATTTAGAAAAGACAACAATTTTTTTCAACATTTAGAAATAGCATGCAGATGCCACTTGAAGGAGAAATTCCAGGCTGTCATCACATATTGATTGCAATTCAAACCTATCATTTTACATATTTTATATGACTTTCCTTAACATTTCATTACTTTTTCACTAAGTGCTTTGGGTTTTAGTGCCTTTTGTTTTCTACAGTGAAACAGTTCAAACGATCAATACCAGACATTTTTTTATTTGAGAAGATGAAAAATTAGAGTAGGACACAGAGGACATACAAAAGGAAAGATGGGCATGCCAAGTGAATGTGGAGATGAAAGGAAAACCTATGAATCACATAGCTACATAGCTGTATTTTATCTTAGCGTGTGTGTGTGTGTGTGTGTGTGTGTGTGTGTGTGAGAGAGAGAGAGAGAGAGAGAGAGAGAGAGAGAGAGAGAGAGAGACTGTGCACAGTTGCTAGTGCAAATGTGACCTTGTGTAGAGGCCAGAAAAGGATGTTGAGTGTCCTGCTGTATCACTCTTAAACTTGTTCCCCTGAGACAGGATCTGTCACTAAACCTTGAGCTAAGCTGGCTTCCCACAAGGCTCAATGACTCTCCTTTCGTCATCTCCTACCCACTGCACAGAACTGATGTTACCATCCCTCATCCCCGGCTTCTTCTGTGGGTGTGGAGGATTCAACTCAGATCTTCATGCATGCTCAGCAAGTGCGCTTACAGACTGTGATATCTCCCCAGCTCATGTTTATTATTATTTGTGGGGGAAAACCAGATACTTATAGTTACACAGAGTTGATTGGATATATATATTTTTTTCTCCCAGAACATTAAAATTAGATGCTCAGATACGTAGCAGCCCAGCTTTGTATAGTTCCAGATGTGTTTTCTAATAACACAGTCAAGAGTTTTGTTATAAGCTTTTTAACCATTGACCTGAGGAAGGACTGACTTTCAATTTACAGTTTGAGAGAACCCTGACCTCATGGCAAGTGGTATTTTCTGAAAGTTTCCTGAACTTCTTTTACGAGGGAGGATGACACTAATAGAGAGACTTCATCACTGATGCAGGCTACTCCACTCTGAATACCACTAAATGACATTCCACTGAGACCCCTTTCTTAGGATTTGAATGTCATATATTCAGACTGTTGGAATGGATAGCTTTTCCTAACCAAGAAAAAATAAAATTGAAATCTTTAAATAAATGATAAGTCTAAGTAGACATTTTAAAAACTGGTATTTTTAGGTGTCTGGAATCCTTTATTAATACTTTTTCAATTTTCACTTATTTTCTTCCAGACAGAGGTTTACCAAGTAGCCAAAGATGATGTAGACTGTACTAGGTAGCCCAGGCATGCCTGGAACTCACAATCCTTCTGCTTCTCCCTCGAAAGTGCTGAAATTTCAGGCATGCATCACCCATATCCCCTTTGGATCCACTGTTCAACCATTAGCAGCGCTAGGAAGATAGTTATTTCAAATAAACTGTTACTCAAAGAATCAAGGATTTAGGCTACATTTCTCCATTTAGTGAATGATTCATCTTATGTGCTGAAAATAGGAATCAGTAAATATTGTGAAAATATTGTATAAAATAATCAAAATTCCATATTGATACCTTTAATTTAATTGGTGGTTAAAGAAATCTCACGTTTTTAATCATTGTTAATAAAAGAGTTGGTGCTTTGTGAAAAGGTAACTCCATGTTTCTTCAAGTGAAAACATAGAGAACATTCCACATTATACAAGACTTTTTCATCTCAGTTCAATATGGTTGGTTAGTCTTTATGATTTCTCTCAAGTAATATTAAAAACAACTTTACAGATTATTCTATTTATGAAAGGTAAGAGGTAAAGACCAATTTGAGTCATTCCAAATTATGGAATATAAAAAAAAACAAAACCCAACAGGCAAGCATCAATCATAAAATTTACTTAAGTATGTTGTCTAGCAAATATATATAATTAGAGCCTTAAAAATTTCATTTTGTTATATTCACTACAAATAACTGTTATTATAAATCCTCCTTCTTATTCCAAGAATTGTAAATAATTTCTGAGAAACACGCATTTCTAGATGTTATTATAAGATATCATAAAGCATGGTCACTCATGAGAATTCATATTTGAAGATTTATTTCCAAACGAGCAATAAATTATAATAAACTAAATACACAAAAACCTAAACAAAGAGTTAGATGAAATTTTAGTTTATTTATTTGCTTTATTAATGATATTGTTTTAATACTATCTATAGTCTTCCATCTCAAAATATCAATCATTGTGTTACTTTTATGAATATAACATTAGTCTAGAAGGCTCAGATTTGCTATCAAAGCAGCATATTTACTTCCTTACCTCTTTATGCCCTATATATGTGCATCCTTTAAGTTACTAAGCATAAACATTCTTATTATAAGAAATTCAGTGGTTCCCAAACCATTATCATATCTTTGTGCAGCATAATGTGTTTGTGTTATTAGTAAAGATCATCATCATATCTATAATCTTTCTTTAGAAAATTGATACACATTTTTTTTCAAATTCAAGTTAGGAATTAATAGCTAAATGGACAAGAGATTCTTTCCAGTTGTAAAAATTAAGTTCATTTTCATTCTTGAATTATTTATGTAACGAGTTCCTTAACAATATGAATATACAATTGAAGTATATGTTTGAAAATCCTTTTTAACTTAATCACTACAAGTGAATACATTTCTATAGAACTTTGTTCTATGTCTGTCATCTACCTATCTCTCTTCATTGAACATTTGAAATAAAATTAAAATGTAATAAAAATAATATATTATATATATATATATATTAATTAAGTAGAGATTTGATATAACTGTATGTACCCAAATTAGGCAAAATTCTCATACTTCTTCCAATATAAATATGTTATAATTCCAGTTTATATACAATATCATATTATGGCAAGTGTATTGTGTCTATAATTTCATGTCCAAGTCTACTAGTTCGTTTATCAAATGTGACTTGCTCATACTTTGTTAATATATTATGAAAAATGTAATAAGCATGCTACCACTTTCACTATATCTAACTACTATCATAAACTCCTTTGTTCTTGACCTAAGATGTTTCAAATTTTACCCAATTTCTTAGAAATACATGTTTGCAGAATTTGTTGCAATGTGTATATAAACATGACCACTCGTGAGAATTTTGCTTTATACTTCTAAAATAGCAATATTCAGTACTAGGGCTCAAATCTCAGGCCCTGGAATGCTAAGCAAATACTTGTATCTGGCTTGGATTAAATTTTTAACATTTTTTATATTACTGACATTAATTTTGATGAACTTGTAACTTTTTCTCAATTTCAAAAATTGTATTTTCATGTATTTTGGAGTATTATTCCTCATGTACTTCCATAGTGTCTATTTTAAAACCAATTCAACCATTACACCTTGAGGCTAAAATGTGCTGCAATAATATTAAAATCTTAAGCTTATCTATCTCCCTCCCAATATCCATTTACAGTTTAGAGTATAACATGCCTGTGATTTAGACTTATTTAGCTATTGGAATATATTGAGAAAGGGCATATTAAGTAGAAATGAAAAACTACTCACCGAGTTGAGTCTCCTGAATTGTTAGTTTACTTTCTACAGGATACAGAAGCTTGGGTGGCTTATCAGTTAGAGGAGCTGAAAAACAACAAAAATAATAATACAGACAGTTATGCTGCATGAGTTGAAGGAAAGAACAGAGTTAATTTTCTCAAACATTTATTAAAATAGTGTCAAAGCACTCTATCAAATAATGACTTTCTGCTTTCAGGTTGTAACCTCAAGCAAATTGAAAAGATACTAGATTGTACAAGAATAAAATATAACACAGGGTGATATTCATATGGCATTGTCAGTCACAGAATCAGGATTGGTCAGTCCTTTAGAACTTGTGATCATGTTTCTTCAATTTGTACTTTGCTTTTTGTTTTGAAGGAGTGTTTTAGACTTTGTACTGTGTGATATATGAAATATATGTGACATATACTATGATTTTTTGACATAGTATGATATAATTCTTGTTAATTCCATTCTTATTTTCCATATGTTAACCATTTCTTCAAAATACATAATTTAGCAATTATTTCTTACATGTATATTATCTAAATGGGGAGGCAATGTAGCATTAAATTTGTGTAAGTATAAAAATTAACTCCCACACATAGCAAATAGTTTTAGGCCTTATTTTTACCTTAGACCAAAAGCTTTACTATTACTATCTGTTATATTTTGTGGTATTTGTTGCTAATTTACATGCCATACTCTCTTTGAATGTAAGTTTCTACACATTTCCTTTCTGTGCTCTTGTCAATTTCAATTATAAGCCATTAAATCAAACCATTTGCTGCGAAGAAGCTCTCTATGGAGAGATGCTTCATACTCTATACTTCATTTCTCGCTAAACTAGATTCTCTGGACTATAAACAAATAGTTAGTCTTTATGAAGCCTTCCTCTGAACCTGTCCAACTGAATTGCCCAGGTCCCTTAAAACTTGTCACTGTAACTTGTACTCTTCTGCAAGTACAGAAATGATCAATTAATGGTTGCTGAACTAAATGTTTTTGCTTCGAGGACTTTCTTTCTTCTTTGCCAGGAACACATTCCAGCTTGGTTGATAACTGGAAGGCTGGTCTAGGTAGAGCAACCAGGACTTGGCTACAGTACTTATCAGCAGAGGAGTCAAGAATTTAGGCTGCTTTAGAAGCTCACCTCCGTCTTTCTTTAACAAAAAATAGCTACTGCAAAAGAAAAAAAATGCACATCAAGTCAGAAAATCCCAGGAAGTGATGGCAGGAAGCAGAAAGATATATGAGGCATGAAAACCAGGAACTAGAGCCTGGTTAAGCTTTTAGACTTTTGAGCAGCAATTCAGCTGAGATCCATTCAGATGAGACGTCCAGTGTGAGGAAAAGAGGAATTGGCAAGGTAAGGTTATTTGTGGCTGGTTCCGTTTCTCTGATCTTTCAGCTTTTATCCCAATATCTGGCACCAGGTTTGTTTTTAATAATAAGACTTTTTAAGATTCATGCTACAACAAACTTAATTCTCATGACAACTAAATAATCTGTTTATTTGCTGAATGTTGGCAAAATATGTCATTAATTGACTAACAAGTCACATTTCTTAGACTCTTCCATGAAATTATTATAGTAAACTTAAAAAAATACCCATGTGCTCTATATGGTTCAGAGAATGAATTATGGTAGCTATTCTTTTGGCTTTGAATGAGTGAGCCTATTAAGTCTAGAGTAAGCCAAAGTAAAAGAAGAAATAGTAGAGATAGATAAATGATACGTATAGCCAGATAAGATAGCGGACTAGAGAGACGGTTACTCCTTTTCCAGAGGAATTGATCTTCAGGTGGCTCACAATAGTGTATGACTCCAGCTCCAAAGAATCTGAGGCCTCCAGCCTCCTTGAACAAGTGCAGTCATATGTCTACCCCCCACATAATTAAAACTAAGAAAAAATAAATCTTAGATAGCTAGTAAAATATCATCAACTTGGTACTCAAAATATCCAATAGAAACTAAATGATGAAGTCCCCTTAAAATAGTCAGCTGGAAGTCCCAATAGTGTCCTGGACAGTACAGATTCCTCTCAGGAAAAGAACAAATAACAGGAAAAGCTGGTATTATCAAATTATATATATATATATATATATATATACACATATACATATATATATATATATATATACATATATATATATATAATACGAAGGAGTCCCCTTTAACCTGAAGTTCCCAATAGAATCCTGGTTAGAGCAAAATGTCTCTCATATGAGGCTTCTGAGTAAAAGAACACAGATAAAGATGATATCATTTATTTGGTGCTCACAACATCCAGCAGAACCCAACTGCAGAAGCTAAGGCAAGAGGAAGTTCCCAACAGAACTTTCTCTCTATGGCTGTGCTCCCCATGGCAGAACACCCATGGCTGAACTCTGGGCTTTTCTTTCTCATTACAGGTACTTTTGCATGATATGATAGGATCATCTCCTGAAAATGGTTTACTTTCTAGTTGTTCTCAAAAACAGGATATTTTATATCTGGGTTGTTTTGCAGTCTCTGTTACTATGTTGTGGGGAGGAGATAGCCCATGCCCAGATAAGGGGTCTTGAAGGTCACTCTGAGACAACCATGCTTGAGTTTGATGTGGGAAGGAGGCAACCCTGCTTTCAGAGACAGCTTTTCAGTGAACTTGAACATCACATGCTGATTTACCAAAATAATGTACATGACGCACAACTACTAAAATAGTTTGTTCAGTAAATTTACTCAGTTCATAAATCTCATGACTGTGTAGTTAGCATTAGATAATGTGACAGTTTACATTAAAAGCAACTGAGAAAAGTGTTCCTCCTATAAACATATCCCACATTAGTCTGTGATGAGAGGGTGAGATCTGTAAAGAAAGAAACTAAAATCTCTATATATCACGTGGTCAGAAACATAAAGTGCTTCTGTGGTTCTTTACCTTAGCCTATCTGCCTCTTTGGCATAATGTTATAACCTTGATTTTTCATATTTTGGAGTGCAACAAAGTACAAGTTAACAAATAAATTCTTCAAACCTGTCATAGGATCATAGGGTGTTGGGGTTAAAAATCCTGTCTATTAAGTCTTTATTTTTAATGTTAAAGCCACATTCCTAACTCAAATGATTTACATAGTGTTCATCTTACTATAAAGGACAGGCCTTTTTTGTACTGAAATTTCATGTGGTCACCATCACACCTAGTTTAGTTTTTATCAATAATTCCCTCCTGATATTTATGTTATACTTATTTAATCATATTAATTTTTACAAATTAATGAATTTGGCTGTGGCATTGCCATACATATACATGTTATGCGTTGATCCTGTATAATCTCCCTAATCCCCTCTTTCATTGTCTCACCCCTTTCCGTCTTCTTCCTAATTAGTCTTAACAATATATACCTGGAGTCAAATAGCTAAGGTGAAAGCTGAAAGATCAGAGAAGCCGAGCAGCAGCCACTGGAAACTTCTTACCTCTACAAATTCTCAGACCGAATGGGCAGGAGATCCTATCTCCACCAGCCTTATATTCTTGTCTTCACTTCGCAACTGTGCCAGGATTAAAGATGTGAGCCTCCCAAGTGCTGGGATTTAGGATGTGAGCCACCACCACCTGGCCTCTATGGTGAACCAGTGGCTAGCTCTGCCCTCTAATCACTAGACAAGCTTTATTTGTTAGAACATAAACAAAATATCATAATATCTTCCCCTTCTCTAAACACTTGCCTTCTCTTTTCAGGTAATGTTGTCCTGTTTCTTGTTTGTTTATCTGTTCTACTTTTCCTATATGTGACAGAATGCGTACAAGTTTTTTCCTGTGCCTAGACACTTTCACTTACTATTATATATTCCAGAACTATGTATTTTGGTGAAAGTAACATTATTTAATTATTTTGATCCATTGTGCTTATATCACATTCTCTTTATTTCTCTATTAATGAGCACCAAGGCTAATTATATGTCCTATGTACTGTGAATGACAGTACCACAATAAAAAGACGTAAGTATATGGCACTCTTGGTATAGCTGGGTCACATGGCAGTTGTATTTTTCAGTTCTATGTGCAACATCCAATTTTTTTTATAGTGACTGTATGAATTTACATTCTTATTACCAGAGTATAAAGGTTTACCTTATCCACAGTCTGGTGAACATTTTTTCCTATTTTTAATAATAGTCATTGTGTCATTCCAATGTTTTGACCAGGCAAATTTTATATGTGTGTGTGCACATATATACATATATTTGCATGTATAAGATTATAATCTGCCAAGCACTGTGGTTGTTCATTATTTTAGAGGATTCACTATAACTCACCTTGATCTGTAGTTTAATAATAAAACATCTTGGACTAATTCACTTAATTTGTTCTGTAGACCAAGAATCTGAGGTGCAAAAAGGTCAAATGCTTTGCCAATAACAAGGCAATTTGAAGCTCAAGTCTTCAGTAGCTCTTTCCTTCTTAACATTTTGTTCTGTGCTCTTTGAGAAGTCTGTCCTACAGTCTCCCCTCAAGGTGTGTACGACCTGCTACACGGTGAAAACTTGCAATTAAGTCCTTACAACACCAAGCAGAGAGCTGTTGCAGTGAAATCTGTCATAATCTCAAATTGTCACATTTGGTGTTATGTTATAATGGATATCAGTTTGAAATAGCTCTCTTATGATTTGCCTTCTTTGCTAAATTTGAATGAATCTTTGTGGGTAGTACATGAGTTAACTGCTGATCTCACCCCCTACTACAATGACTGTGAATAGGAGGTGGTCACTAAGGTTATGATGTAACTCAGTTTCCCAGTATTTTGAGACTAACCAAATTCATTTCCACAAATGAAGAACATTCACAGAATAACCATTTCTGGCATATTATCCTTAATATATATTAGTTTATGAATTGAATTGTAAGATGACGGAACTGGGAAAATGGCAGGAGGTCTGATGGCCAGTGAAAATAAATCCTAGACAAGCATTTATTTTCTCTATTTGCAAACTTCGCACTAGATCTTCTAGTTCTGAAAGTAATTACTCATGAGGAAAACCAAGTCATATTTGCTGTCAAGACGACAACACATCTGTGGACACTTTTCTTTCATTTA